CTGGAACCCAACATAGGCCTCACGGCGGGCAGGTTCCCCCACCGTGATAGACCAAGTATGCAGGCCGTAGTAACTCGCAATAGAATGAACGAGCCAGCGACTGACAAAGGTAAGTTAAACCCAGCGGAAAATGGCACTCGAAACTTACCCAAAGCCAGCGGCCCGGTCATCAACCAGGCTCTCGAACACCATTTTCTCACCATCTCGCTCATTATGTTGGCTTAAATTCGCGCGCAATTCTCGCAACCTTGTCCTGTGCTCAGGCGAGTCATGCATTTGTCCATTGCGACCCACAAAGACAACTTCATCCTCGGATTCGTCCTCGGACGACAATGGTGCATCTTCCAACCCTTCTTTTCGCAGCATCAGCTGCTTCTCGCCCCATGTCTGGATAAACCGTCTAATATCCTCTTCCAAATCCTGGAGCATCCCACGAGCAGCACGTGCATGCTTCAATCTCATGCGAAGTTCCTTGGGAATGCGATGCTTCTCATGCCTCGTACCTTTGGGAGTCTGCTTAGACGACGTCCGGTCGAGGTGAGCATATTTCACGTCCCAGACAGGTGCTAGATAGTAAGGCATGGGGTCATGTCGCGGATATGTCGGCTGTACCGCCCAATCACTGGGGGTAGGTGGTTCAACCCAAGGGTTATGCAAGAGACGATCTTTGAGAGAAAGTTCCGTCAGCAATGATGCAAAATGAGGAGCGACGCGTCGCACTCTTTGGGGGAAAAGGATGCCTCAAAGATCATCGCATTCGTGTCACAAGTCACCACATACCGTTCTCCCAACGTTGTCTGCGTCGACTCCCGTCCTTTCCTTTGAGGAGCGCTTCCCGTCTCTTAAGACTATCGCGACGAATAGGTTCTCGACGTCTGAATGAAACCGAGGTAACCGGTTGCGTCTCGGGCTCCCGAGTCACAAGCTTGACTTTGGGTAAAGCTCCTGTATGCACCACAGGAACTGGGTCGTCTAGAGGAATAGATAGAGGAACCGAGGAGCCGCGCAGAGGGGAATCACGCGTAGAAATGAATTCGACATTTCTGTCGCCCGCCGAACCCGACTCCGACAGAGTCAAATTCCGCAGGGATGCAGCCGCCTGCTCCGACCAAGCCGAGATTGCTCGAGTCTGCTGCGGTGTCAGGTGCCCCTGTGAGTTGGCCGGGGATGGCAGTGTTGGATGGATGGCCATTGTGAAAGACGCGAGCGGGCTATCGATAAGTTCGGATGGATGGGGCCTATTGGGAGTGGCAAAATACCCTTCAAGGACAGGAATGCACAGAACGCTCTGAGTCTGCTGAATGAATGACCTCTGGACCGACTGAGGAGAGAGGACAAGAGTCAAATAGGAATGAGGAAGCAACGAATAGAGCGGGGGGTATGAAGAGATAAGAAACGTGAAAGCAGATAACCAGTTGTCGCGTCCGAAGCCGAAAATCGCGGGTCCTTACCGGAAGAGGAGTGGTACAAAACCTTTCTCCCCATAGAAAAAAGCCTCGGGTTGACTCACGATGGGGCACGGGTTATAGAAACGCTAATGATTGGTGCTTGGATATACATGCCCTAGCCCTGATTACCCCTTCCAGCATCTGCGATCTGTGATGCTGGCTGCAGGTACCTCTTTACATCATCATCTGGTCGTTTATGTTAATAATTCGAATACGAATGGAGTCATCTCAGTCTGATTCAGACCATGGCGAGTAATGGTCATTTGTGCTTCTGGTTCGAGGATAAGCTGAGTCCGCCCGAATTGAATTTCGATATTGTAATATATTCTGAGCATAGCTAAATATCCCAGTTCAAACCAGGCTATGATGGAAGCTTTAGTAGTTTCCTTGCTCTCTCACTGACTGTCAGCGTTGATAAATTAGTGGTCAGGCCCCTGAATTGTTGTGCTATGAGTAACACGTCCCTAAATCAACCCTGATCCCCTCGTCAGGGCGGGCCAGGCGCGCCACCCAGGGCTCACATCCATGCGGGGAAATTGTTACCTTGTCGCCTGAGGCATATTGATCTGCGAACAGAGTGGAGATCATGCCTGACACGGTCGCATTCTCCAATGAGTCACTAAGGCATCATGATCAAAGACTTGAAGGAATGGATGATTTTATGGAGATTCGACGCGAGCACAATGAGCGATCACGTCAAATGTCAATATCAGTCAAGATCCACAAATAGACAGAGGGCAAAAGAGCCCTGGATCAATGGACACATGTAATACAAGCCACACGACTGACGGGAGAGTTCAGCCCATCCCCTCACGAGAACCGGATTTACTTGTTGCTTGTTGCTACCTCTTAAAGGAACCTGAGGTGTCAATGATTTAGGTTAAAATAATCTTACAATAATAAAGTAACTAATCACCAAGGTCAACCTAATCAGAGGTCAGCAAATAATAAATCCAATTTAGTCCAGAGCGGCTAAGCTACCAACCTCGGTCCTGACCTGCTCTATCATTTATTATTTAAGTCAGCTGCCAGCACTCCGTCTGTGTCTGGACTTGGCCAGTTGCTCGCGATAACCAGTCCATTATTATCCATCCAATCATCACCGTATTCGCCATCTATTCTGAGACAAAAGAGCTGTACCTTGCACAGCCGTCCCTTTAGACTTGGAAGGGTCCTCAGCACACATCTTTAAGCATCCCTCAATTTCTCCTGCCTTACCAAAAGCTGTGCTTACACCGTTCGACTTCGAGGGTCACAAAACATCAATTATAGTTTCTACTTTGTTATTTGCCTTGTTTCATGAACTGCCGGGGATAAGTTCCATCGATTTACTATGAAAGTCCTCGCAGCTATTGTGCTGAGCGCAACAGCTTTCACTGGGGCTCTAGCTGCAGTGATTACTCAAGAAGCATTCTTAAACAACCCTCGCATCCATCATGACCAGGACAAGTACTTGATCGAATTGGCGCCTTACCGAACACGATGGGTGACTGAAGAGGAGAAATGGGCATTGAAATTAGTACCATACTTCCCCAAACCTTGGATCTCCAACCCCACAGGTGACTAACTGCACTATTGCATCAAGGACGGCGTGAATTTTATCGATATCACAGAAGAGCACAATACCGGATTCTACCCGACCCTCCACAGCGCCAGCTATGTCAAATATCCGCCGAAGATGCAGTATGCAAAACAGGTGGTTGCGCTTAACAAGGATCTATCGAAAGAAAACATGAAGGCCAATCTGGAACGATTCACATCATTTCATACTCGTTATTACAAATCTCAGACGGGAATTCAATCAGCAACCTGGCTGTACGACCAAGTCCAGAGAGTTGTCTCCGAGTCGGGAGCCGCTGAGCATGGTGCAACTGTTGAGCGATTCTCCCATCCATGGGGTCAGTTCAGCATTATTGCCCGAATCCCTGGCCGAACGAACAAAACTGTGGTGCTGGGCGCCCATCAGGACAGCATCAATTTATTTCTCCCGTCAATCCTGGCTGCTCCCGGTGCTGATGACGATGGAAGTGGAACTGTCACCATTCTCGAAGCGTTGCGCGGTCTGCTGCAGTCAGACGCCATCGCCAAGGGTAATGCATCCAACACTGTCGAATTCCACTGGTACTCTGCAGAAGAAGGTGGAATGCTGGGCTCCCAGGCAGTCTTCTCTAGTTACAAGAGGGATAGGCGGGAAGTCAAGGCCATGCTCCAGCAAGACATGACTGGCTACATCCAGGGAGCTCTGAACGCGGGTGTCGAGGAAGCCGTTGGAATTATGGTTGATTATGTGGACCAGGGCCTCACACAGTTTCTCAAGGACGTTGTTACGGCGGTAAGCATCAGTTGCCCCGCACGGAAAGCTTAGTAGTTGATGAATGAACTGACGAGCTGCATTAGTACTGTTCTGTGGGTTACTTGGAGACCAAGTGCGGATATGCCTGCTCCGATCACACATCGGCCAGTAAGTACGGTTATCCCGCGGCTATGGCGACTGAAGCGGAGATGGAAAATACCAATAAGAAGATACATACTACCGACGACCAGATCAAGTATCTGAGCTTCGACCATATGTTGGAGCATGCGAAGTTGACTCTCGGCTTTGCTTTCGAATTGGCATTTGCGCCGTTCTAATTCCTCTCATGCTTTATTCCAGATGGAGGAATGATTGGAAAATGCTTGTTTTACTTGCCACAAGGCGTTCGAGGGTTTGGGTCATGGTTTGATTTGGGATAACTTGCCATTCATGAGGTACTTCCTAGGCTGCTCCCTCACAAACTGATTATACCATTATACGAGTCTCGTAGCATATCTGTACACGTGTTGACAATGCGTTAACTTATCTTCCCGCCCTTCAAGCATTACCATGGGAATCCGAATAGAACTGTAGTCTGATCATCACGTGACAATTGCGGATATCATCGATGGGACCTTGATCGCCAACTATGATTGACTTAGAAGACAGCGGTGAGGCAAAAATGTCAGTCACAAGTTTCTGTAGTTTTCTCTTGCCGTGAATTTTCAGGATAGAACGTCATTTTCGTTTGACTATCCGTCACACTGCTATGAAACAGTCCAATCGACCACTGAGCATCGAATGAATATTTAATTCATTTATGAGGTCATCGAGCCACCCGCATAGTATTAAGATCCGTCTGCAGCTCCTAGTGCTGCTTTCTGAGAAATCTCTCGTGTGACTCTACCCCAGGTCTCAATTGCCAGAGACAAGTGAAGCTCTTGCCCAATTGACTGTCCTGTTTCGCTCTTTCCAGTGTGGTCTAGGTGTTCTCATCATTGATCACCTTCCTGATTTAGAGCCAAGTCGAATCAGACGAGAAGGAACACAGACAACTTTAACTTTTGAGACTCCATTGTTTCTCCACTGGAAGCTCAATTCTGCAAGAGGACCATATTTATCTTCGTTTTCTCTCTCCATTGATATCATTTCTGTCATCATCATCATCATCATCGTCGTCGTCGTCGTCAACGTGCATATTTGCTTCAGGAAGAATTTTCGAACTGAACAACAAGCTCGGCTTGTCTGTATTCTGCATAATGGATCCCAGTAGTCCTTATTCCAAGGAACTACAATTTGCATGCCTCACAGTGCAACGGGCTGCACTATTGACGAAGAGATTGCTCGAGGCTGTTGACAAAGGATCACTCGACAAGAGTGATTCCACGCCTGTGACCATCGCCGACTTTGCTGCTCAGGCACTTATCATTAGCGCTATCCACAAAGCCTTTCCCGAAGACGAATTTGTGGGTGAGGAGGATTCAAAGGCTCTCCGTGCAGATCCAAAACTTCTTGAGCGCACGTGGGAGCTCGCCTCTACCACTCATCTAGATGACAAAGACAGTGAAGCCCTTCTCTACGCTCCCAAATCCAAGGAGGAAATGCTTGACTTGATTGATCTTGGAGCTCGTGGCAAATGTAGCCTGGAGAGCCGCGCCTGGGTTCTGGACCCTGTAGACGGTACTGCGACCTTCATGCAGGGCCAGCAGTATGCGGTGTGCCTGGCACTGGTGGAGAATGGATGCCAGAAGGTCGGTGTGTTGGGTTGTCCCAATCTCAATCTTGCTACGGGCCGTCTTCGAGAGGATGTTGTGGATCGAGATGGCTACGGGTCTCAAGTCTTTGCAGTTGCTGGTCAAGGTGCTTGGATACGGAAGATGGGACGCGGAGCTCTGCTCGCTGCTGAGAGTATCGGTCAGAGGCCACAAATTACAGACCCGAAGGACCTCGATTTTGTGGACTGTGGGTCCGCCACATCATCTAATACTTCCCTGCATGCTCGAGTGGCATCGAAACTGGGTGCTCCGTGGCCGTACAGCACTGATCTGTGGGCTACACAGCTGCGCTACATAGCCATCGCGGTAGGAGGCTGCAATGCTCTGATCAAGATCCCCCGTAAGGCATATTATCGGTCTAAGATCTGGGATCATGCAGGCGGCATGTTGATTGCCGAGGAAGTCGGCGTTAAGGTCTCTGACCTTGCAGGAAATCCTGTCGACTGCAGCTTGGGCCGAACCCTAGCTGGATGCTACGGGATGATCGTGGCTCCTCCTTCCATTCATGGGCGGATCGTTGAAGCCGTAAAGGAGGTCATGCAGGAACAGACGAAGTGATCGAGTCGTTCGGGACAAAATGTTTTGCATTTTATTAGACTACGTCTTGGGTTGGGTCATCGCCATCACGGGATTCTGCTTGCGCTGTGCAGGCTCACAGCGATTATTAGTATTACCATTATTCAGCTCTAGAGGGTCATTGGGACCAAAGGACTGCACCAGATAGATATGGCGACGCACTGTTTAGGATTTGTCCAATGTAGCATTATTCTTCAGGCCAGACGGAGCTATCCTCTGAGACAGCATTTCTCTTGGTATACAGAATTATATTCAGATGGCTCTGCGGCAGTTCGTAGCGACTCAATTACTAGTGTTCAAGGGTAACCGAATTGTAGGTACCTACGCTCTGATTACACTATCAAGATAGGCATCGTATGATATGCCCCATACAGCGCCCGTGCTCTGATCGACAGTCTGTGGGGCCTGATTAACGGAAGTGACAGACGGTCTACCAGGGATTAGATCGCTACAAGTAAAAAGACTTTATGACTTTCCCAGAGGGTAGAGAACTTGGAATAAGGTAAGGGGGGTTTATTACTAGCACAGAACATTTACAGACTGAAAACGGACGTCTGGGTATTATGTCAATAACCTGGCAGTACCTACCTCTCTAGTAGTTACCTGCAAGAAAAGTCGCCCTGCACCGCGGAGTTTGAGTGATGTCATCAGTTTCAGCTTCCGTCATCATCACCATCTCTCCATCGATATTTTCTTGTCAGGAAATCGACAGTAAAGAAACTCAGTATTTCGAAAGAAGAAATTCAGTATCGTCAGACATGCCTCTCTGGTAACTCTAATAAATCAAATCTGGGGTTGTTCTGGCACATCTGAGTCGTCGTCATAAGAATCAAGAAAGTTCATGGCGAGGGAGGATCAACCTTGTTGGCTTTCCCGGAAGCATCTCGTTGGCCGCTCAAGATTGTCAGGAGACCTCATGATGCGGGGGTACTCGTCTCCATGCACTTCTCTCTCGTAGGCTGAATCTTATAAGTATCTTCTTCCTCTTGCGCTTCTCTCCTGAATTCAACTTCGAATAAGAGTATATTGTGTGTGTGCCTGTAGTCTGTCCTCCCTCACCTGAAGCAGGCACTATGGCTATTTGTAAGCGTTACCCTCATCGTCATCGTCATCACCCATATCATCATAAGGTCAATATCGTCACCTCGTTCATATACTAATGGTATAGACAATCCGTTCGCCAGGCGCGAATCCCACGGCCGTTATGCGCTGTCGACGTATCGCGTCCTTGTTCCTCTAACATGGCTGCTCGTCGTCATAGTTGGCGTCTACTACACTTTACATTCTCCAGATGATGTCAAGCATGGTCATAAAATCTTCAAGCAGGGAAACAAGCATATCACTCCCTTCAGTTTGAACACCACGCTCACTGAGATTTACTGGTACGCTTACCTCGAGCGTGTGACTTTATCGTGCTCTACATGCTAACTACACTCCATTGTCAAGGGTTCTTCTGCTGCTCACCCAGCTCAGCTACGTCTACCATCTGTTCTCAAATGATGGCGCCATCGCCAACGCAGCTGCCAATGTCGGATCTCATTTCATCCTGAACAACCTCTTTACCCTCGCCTGGATCCTTTTGTGGACTCGGAACCACTTCTGGGCCTCAGAACTCATGCTGGCCGCAAACTACCTCAACCAGCATGCTGCCTACTGGCGTCACCGTGCCCTGCCGACGTTCGTACATCTATCGGCAATCGCAGGCCCCTACGCCTGGACTCTGATGGCACTTTTCTGGAATGGAGCCGTCGCAGTCGGCAGCAATAGTTTCCCCGCGCGTATTGCCGCCAATATCTTCATCTGGTTGATTTTCGCCTTCGGCTCGACCCACATCATGGCGACCCAGGATGACCTCTTGGGCTACTGTCTGACTTTCTTGACTCTTGGTAAGTCTGGCCCGCCTTGTAGGGGAGAGACGCAGAAAACTGACTCCTGGCAGCTTTGGCCGTTAAGCAATTGGCAATCAAGGTCATTGCGCTGCAATGGATCTTTGCCTTTGTTATCTTCGCTGTCTTTCTCGTCGAGTCGATTTATCTGTCTGGCACCAAGTACTCCGGTCGCGACTCGCTATTCCGTAGAATCACGGAGCCTGAGCCTACTGACCGCGAGAGAGAACCTCTGCTCAACAGTGCTGCCAATCCTTAAAGGAGGAGGGCTGTCGCTGCTAGACTCTACAGAACTCCGTTTGGCCATCCGAGTCGAACAGTGACTTATCGGATTTGACAAATTGGATTGTTATTTCGCAGGTCACGTCAGCCTCACGTGCTAATTATTTATATGCACGATGTCCCACGAGTTTCTCATGTCCTCTCCCCTCTCCATTTGTTCCCCTACCTTCCAGTCTATTACCCCTTGATCAAAAGTCCGACAATAACCCAGCTGATTGCCTAATGCTCATCGAACATCTGCTTGAATTATCCGTTTGCTGCGTTGTCTTACGAGTTTGCATACCTTAGTACTGGTGGGGCACTTTGTCAAAAGCGTCCACGGATCTTGATGTTTTATGTCTATCTAGTCTATCTAGTCTGACTCTCGATCTTTCTCTAGCTTCAATTTGTGCTGAGTTGACCAATCTCTTGGCCCCGCCAAAGTTCATTACAAATAATGGTTGCGGGTGCGTCACCATGTACCTACGAACTATAAACATCAGGTCCGTAGCTCGTGCATCATCCCACCTTTTCGAAGGAAAACACCGTTAGAAAATAGGCTATGAGAATCAAGCAGCCTTTCCTTGATGCCCTCAAGTAAATAGGTGACTTTACTTTAATCATCGCCTCACTCCTAATCAATGTCTCAGAACATGAAAGCCACAAGGGATTTGCGTCGCCCCGCCGGTTGTCAGCTCCAGCCCGTCCCGGTTGCCCTGGAGACAATCCACACGCAACAGAGATGCACTCTAAACTCTCTCGTTTCCTTGGGACAGTCAATGTGATCCATGCTTAGCGCTTAGATCTGAAAGAAAAAGAATCAATGCGCCTGTGCTCTGGTTCGGAATCCATATTTTGTTCTTATCTCTGAGTGACATTTGTCTATGGTATTGGCAGATATCAGTTTCTCAAGCATACCAGTCAATCCCTCGAACAATTGGTGTTTTCTTGCTACGAGCTTTTCAACTTGATTACATTCTATAGCTACCGAAAGCGCATTGTTTACGACGGGGTATAGCGGCCTCATTACCTCTTTTCGCAGTGAGTTACATTCCAGTGCATAAATCCCATCATCCACACGCTCGATCAAGTAAACTGACGATTTCTTCACCATCTAACCAGGACACGACGTGTCGATCCCATTGACGAACTTGGGCTGTGTGCCTGTGTTACCGCTCTAAGGCTAAGATTGTCTCGATTTCTCGCTTACCCATAGCAAAGAAAGCTACGAGTGTCGGTCTCATTGCAAAGTGCCATGAAGGCTTAAACCAGCAGTCATCCCAGCTACCATGAGCTCCAACTCATCGCGAATGTATCCACCCGCGCCAAACTACGAAGAAGAACCACCGGCATACGGCAATTATGGAGAGACAGCATCCTTCCTCGCAGATCACGATTCGTCACCCCGTCATCAGGGGGCCACCATGCGCCTGTTACCCAATAGCACCGATGTGGATGACGATCTAAGTGTCGACGTGGGAAGTGGTGCAAGTCATCAGTATGGGATTGAGTACTCCGATAATGGCTCGTAAGTAATATCAGGGTTTCCTTCTGCTACTAATCTTTTCACCCCGGAATGTCATGGCCCCCCCGCATGCCGAAGACACTTACCGGTATCTGTCTGTTGCCCTATGTCATGTTGTTACCTGCTTCTTATCCCTTGTTTAGACTAGAGTGAGGAGTGCTTTTGTTTGACTGGAATTGGAATTTTGTCTCCTCTCTCTTGAGGAACAGACTGCAAGTTCTATTGTTTCTATTGTCTCTACTCTTCTTTTCCTTATTTGCTACCCTTACGTGCTACAAGTCGTGTACGCTCGATGACTGCACATGTTTGATATAAGCAGTCTACCTCGAGCGGCTCGGACTTGAGCGCTATCGCTATGATTGATCCAAACCTTCCAAAAATAATTTCACCAAGAAGGCCAAGAGCTAACACGCAACATGTGCCATCCAGCGGAAATACCACCGGAGGATACAATAGATTCTACAGCTATAGTGGTGAGGAATCTCCGTCACGGCCTGCTTCGAGTCTAGGAAATGTGCCATCGATCCCTCCACCAGCTGCTTCCGCGGTCGACGTGCCGCAGTATGCATCGCGTCCTGCTTCTCCCCTCAGACCCTGGTCTCCAGCGCGCGCGGCGGACTGGACAAGGCCGCCCGCTCCACCGTCTATCGCCGGCTCGCAGTACGAACGCGCAGATCTAAACGGCAGTCCAAGGCCAGGTACACCCAGCTCCAGATACGGCGGGAGCCCTAGACGCCCCTTGCCACCAGCTCCATTGTTTGCTGGTCCTGGAGCAGCAACCGGGCAAGATACAAGCATTGATATCGGAGATGGCAATGATCCTGACGATCCATTTGGAGGAGGGGGAAGGACGATCAACCGACATGAGCACCGTGGAAGCATCCGATCGTTTATGAGCGAATCGACCATGATCACAGATGAAAAGGACGAAATGGCGAAGATCAACCTCGATGAAGACGATGCCACTGACGTCGATCCCAACATGCACTATGGTCCGGCTCCAGAAAAGCAAAGTCGTCGAGGAGTTCGAGAGGCCCAGATGTCTAAGAAGGAAGTCCAGTTGATCAACGGTGAACTGATCCTGGAATGTAAAATTCCCACAATTTTGCACAGTTTCTTACCTCGTCGGGATGACCGCGAGTTCACGCACATGCGTTATACAGCCGTTACATGCGATCCGGATGATTTCGCTCAGAGGGGCTATAAACTACGCCAACAGATTGGAAGTACCATGCGCGAAACCGAATTATTCATCTGTGTGACCATGTACAATGAGGATGAAACTCATTTCACCCGTACCATGCATGGTA